TTGTATGCATTAAATACTTTGTTTTCCTAGGGTTAGAGCATCTTGAATTTGGCTGATTTTGGATCTCTTAGGTTTAGGTTTTGGGATCTAGATTCATCTAGAGATTAGGAGAGATCGATCCTCCTTTCGAATAGAGGAGCACTTGTATCTGGTTATTTTCTTCCGATCTATTTGATTCTTGCAATAAAATTATTGTTTTGTGATTTTCATTGGAGTTTGGAAGAGTTTTCTCGCTGTTTTTTTCTTTCTTGCTAGGATTCACTTGAAATGTACGAGTATTTCCTATCAAGATTAATCATAGCAGGAAGGTCCATTATTGTTTCCTTCTGATACCTTGAATTGCAACTTTTTACTATCATCCCCTTTCTTTTTATTTTAGTATTTGTGTTCTCTTGGTTATTAAAAGAGAAGAATAATACTAAGTTGAGTGTTGCTGTGATGAGGATGCTTAGGTGGATGAGTGGCTTTACCCTTAGAGATAGGATACGAAATGAGCATATACGTAAAAAGGTGGGAGTAGCTCCAGTGATAGATAAGATTGGAGAGAGTTATCTTAGATTGTTTGGCCACATTAAACGGAGGCCTTCTGATGATCCTGTCAGGAAAGTTGAGGTATTAGATTTGGCTTATGTAAAGAAAGATAGAGGTAGACCTAAAAAGACTTGGTTAGAAAATATTAGAAATGATCCTTTATTAGATTTAAATGAGAATTTGACTTTTAACAGAATACAATGGTGAAAAAAGGATTCATGTAGCCGACCCCACGGAATGGGACAAAGGTTTGATGTTGTTGTTGTGTTCTCTTGGTTATTATCTGAACTTTCCCTACTACAGATGCTTGGAGAAAGCTTGTACCCACTTGTGGAGCAACTAGAACGTGATCATGCGGCCAAAGTGACTGGAATGCTCTTGGAGATGGACCAGACTGAAGTGTTACATTTGCTGGAGTCTCCAGATTCTTTGAAAGCCAAAGTTGCTGAGGCAATGGAGGTTTTGAGGAATGTTGCACAGCATCAGCAGCCAAATAATACGCCCACTGATCAGCTTTCCGCGCTTTCTCTGAATGATAACCTTTAAATATTTTTGATCGGCTGCAGTAAAACTTTATTGGTGATTTAGTTTTGTCTGTGAGTGGAATCGGTGAGTGGTACTTGAATTTTTGTTTGTTGTATTTTATTATATGCGACATTATGACTGTTTATTATTATGGTTTGTAAACTTACTTTTTTTATTTATGATATGGTAAACTCTGTCTTGAGACTAATGTTTATTGCTGGATATATCTTGCTATTATAGTTGTTCATTTCATGTTTTAACATAGTTTTATTTGATCTTGTTGCACAAAGCTTATGTGAATGTAGGTTTCTATCATTTGGGGATGTATCGGTGCTTTAGGTTTCGTTTGGGACGGCTTTCTTATTGCTTCTTCAAATATATTTTTAGTACAAAAATTTTAATTTTTATGCTGTAAAACATCTTTAAGAAGCAGTACAAAAGCCGTCCCAAACGAAGCCTTAATATCCATTTGGTACTAATTGGTGCTTTAGTTGGTTTACGCAGGAGAAACCAAATATTGAGCTTGAGCAATAAAGGTTTCGTTTGGGATAGCTTTTGCAACTGTTGTTTTTTTTTACTATCTCAAATAAAATCTAAGTTGTACCAAAAATAAACCGCTATACATATAGAGATATGTGACATCTGTCAGTAGTTTTTGATTAGGATTAATGTTTGATTACACTAATTATGCCTCTAATTGTGACTAAACATAAGAAGCAGCTTGGTAAATTCTGGAGTTTGTTTCCCTGAAAATGAATGTGGCTAATGATTTTGTTGATTTCATCGACTAAAGCAATTTGTATGATACAATGGCATGAAACTTATGTGGCATATCATTTTGTATTAAGATATTTTATATACATGAATATGAATTACTGTAAACATTATGAGTATAAGAAATCAATCACAATGTTTGATCTTTAGTTCTTTATATAGTGTGCATTTTAACGTATTATTTAAAGAACATGCAAATAAATATATAATAAACTAAGGTTTCGTTTATGATGATTTTCTTACTGTTTTGTAAAATTTTTTTTATATACAAAAATCTTTTGAAAGCGGGAAAAAAATAGTGGTCTAAAGCTGTATCAAAAGAAACCTAAATGATTCAAATGCGTATCATCAAAAGTTGTTGTTTGATGAGGTTTAACTATATAAGCTAGTCTATCCAAATTTAACTCTAATTTAATAATTCATGAGTTTTCACAACTATCAAGGTTAAAAGGTGAGCTATGCCTTTATAGAGACCAATTTGTCTCTATAAAACAAGAGGTGGCAAATTTCTGTTGGCGAGAAAGGGTGGATTGTTGGAACAACAAAGAAGCAAGCTTATTCGAGTACTCGATTGGAAGCAAGGCCGAGTTTTGCAAGTTAATCGATGCTGTTGGGCTTGAGAAGGCAATGAATTCATCATTGGCTTCTTGATGTAGTGGATCTGCGGAAGAATCAGATCTGCTAGAAGAAATTCTCAATCCAAGGAACAAACACGAGCTCTAAGCTTCAAAGAGTATATAATTCATCATGTCTCCATTCTTCTTACAATGTTCTATATATAAGCTAGCAAGAGAATTTTCTAGAGACAGGCATAAAGTACCATGGACCTTGCCTGGCAAACTTTGAATCACTTTTATAGGCCTGCAAGAGAAAATTTTGAAGACAAGAACAAGAAATATACATGCAGAAAAGGTTCAGATGTAGTATTAATAGACATTCATCAAAGCTTGTATGGACAATTTTTCTTTTCTTTTCTTTTCTTTTCGCTTTTATGTAAATATACTCTTTTAACATTGAATGAAATTTTCTTATTTTTTTTACTTGTCACAGTTGAATTCAAGTTGTGTTCTATGAAATAATAGACAATATCATCTCAATCAAATAGCATAAATAAGTAAGATGAATACTTCAAACCAAGTTTTAGAACTAACTTACCAAATAATACATGTCATTGTGGTATAAACCCAAAGAAGCCAGTTTAAAATGTATGCATTTAGGGCCGTAAAAATTGGGTTTCGAGTCGGGTTCGGGTTGAACCCGAATCTGACTAGACACTTTTTAACCAAAATCGAACCCGACCCATTTTTATAAAAGGGTTGATTTTTCGGTCCTGAACCTAACCTGTTTTGGGTACATGTTAGTAAAGTATTTTTAATTAATTCAATTTATTTAAATCTAAATTGAATTAAGGTAAGATTTACTGCAATCAATTTAAAATAAATCAAACTTAATTCAATTTGAGCAACATGTTTATTATTTTTTGGAAATAACATTTACTTATTTCATAACAATCTTCTAAAGCCATCCTAAATTAATTTAAAACGGGTCAAATTAGGTTGATTTTAGATTTCTGAGTCAACTCGAACCATATCATGTTTTACAAACGAGTTGAAACCCCTAACCCGAACCCCAACCTGACCCGGTTCGGGTTCAGGTTGACCTGAACCCTAAATTTTTGGGTTGGTTCGGGTCGATTTTTCAGGTCGTGTCAAATATTGACACCCCTATATGCATTTGAGCTAAACAAGAGCTCTAAGAGGGATGTGTTCATCCTATCACTGTGAGTTCCCTGAGCATAAATATATGATCTCTTTCAAAAGTCATGATATAATCTACTACTCGAAGTATCTGATTTATGATCCTTCATACCAATCTGTGCTCATCGTACCTTTTAGAATATTGAATTTAAATTTATCTATTAATCATATCAAAATTAAATTCTTAGAGCTACAAGAATAGTATATCAAAGTATGGTGAAAATTGAGGGGGTTGAAAAAGAAGTATACTAAAAGAACCCAAATATGAAAAGGGTTACTTTGAAATTTTATACCTAATGTTTAATAGACAAAAGTATAGTTAAAAGTTTTCAAAATAACCCTATATTTATAGGGTTTTAGATATTGGAAAAAAACAACATAAAATTAAAATGATAAGACTTAGAACTTATAACCCAACATTACACATGAAATGAGTTTATATAAATCATGAATATGTGGGTGGATATGATGCTCATGATTTGTCCAAGAATGGACTTGCTAAAGTCTCAAGAGAACTTGCTGACTTCTTGGAAAATCTATGAATTTGTTGAGGAAGTTACAATACATCGATGCCATTGTCTTTCATGGACGAGTTTATTAATTATAGCCGCTTACTTGAGACAAATTCATACGTCGTAGCAGTTCATTCGGGTGAGTTCAATTGTAGATTTGATGAGTTCCTCTTGATGATATTAAGTAGACCGAGTTGGTTTAGCTTGAATTAGGACGATTTGACTTGAACAAAATTTTGAGAAGATGTTATCATACAATATTTATAAAATAATATTTATGTATTTCTTTAAATTATTGAAATCATATATTTGGG